GTGATAAACTCGAGAAACAACTTCTTACATTGCACGAATTACTGTCAACGAGGATGGCATCACCATCTGGAACACAAGGGACAACAACAACACTCAAGTGAGTACACTAGCCACAGAAACGTCTTTATGCAACGGCTTGTGGCATCAGCAAGAGATGGCATAACTCGTTGCAAGTAAAGTTCTTCTCAAAGCGTCCCCTGGGAAGGAACGAATACTTGAACAAGTCGCCATCGCAGGGATAGTAGTCTCAGCACCCAGGGTTGTCTGAGGTTCCTCTGAAACCCAAGGTAACTGTACACTATCCTGCGTGCACGATATTGTGGCTGGAATCCAGACAGGAGTGACAGTATTACTATGTTAATAAGTAATTCACGGATCTATAGGAACTTAATCTGAACTTCACATTTCTCAGCACTTTAACAAATCTCAGATACAATCTGTGAGAACAAGCACATTGCTCAAGGGCTAGGTATTGTCTTTCAGTCAGTAAGGGAATATTGGTACTGTGGACTGATTCATATTGACTTTGACTGGCATAACACACTAAGTGAACATTCAAAAGTGACTGGGACATCTTCTCAGGGAACTTACTCGAGGACATAAAGGCAAGAAAATAGAGAATATATGACACAGTAAGCTTAAACGGGAAGAAATTACTTATTTAAAAAAATAAGTCACATTGTAGCAAGGAGAACTCATATGAAAATAAAAAAATTACTCAACTGGATAAGCAACACTTTGAAAATCAAGAGAAATTGTACTTTACTCAAATTAAATTTACTCAAATTTACTTTAAATTGAATTAATGGCACAGTGAGTTGTCTTTACTTTCAATTCAATAAAAAAAATTCAACAATAAATGATAAATTAATCAAAAATGTTAAAATGGAATCAATAAAGCTTGTGCAAAATTAAAACAAACTGGGAAAGCAATTCTAAATAAAAAGATTAAGTGACACACAAGGAACAAAATATTATGCACAGAACAGGGCATATGAAACTGCACTGAAATAAACTGTTGCAATATTGCAAATAATTTCTAATCAAAGTACTGCACAACACTACATAAAATTTCTGGAAGAAAAATTTTAATGGCAACAAAATGTTTACACAAAAATTATTGTAAAATATTGCAATAATGCAATAATAAAAAAAATTACACACACAAGAAAATACAGTTTACAAGGAAAAAAATATCATCAAGGAATGAACTGATTGAACACTTTAACTCTTAACTGCAGCTTAAGCAACACTGACTGGACAAGCAAAAGAATGATTTACTTTAAAAGAAGTTAAAAAATATGCACTAAGAGTGAATTTGTTCAATGAAATATAAAAATAATAGATGCAGAAACACAGAACAAAAAGGTTTGAACATTCACAGTGATGCAGAACACAACACATCACTATAAACACAATACTAGAATTTTCTTGCATTGAAACTTGAGGTATGAAAAATTTGTAAGATAATTGTCTTGCTTCAACAAAATAATGGCACTATTGTCTGTGGAAATAAGACAAATTAGACACTGGCTAAATGAAAAGAATTAACACAAGAATGTTCAACACACACAGAAAAAAAATAAAATGGCAAATGAATGAAAACAAAAACAGTAAGAATACACAAATGCTGGGAGAAAAAAATATAACAGACAACACTGAGTTGTGATGCAGAATGTAAGGTAATAAATTACTGAATTACTTCACTGCAATACTGTGAACACAAGATAATTGTGAAGTGTAAACACAAGTTTATACTGTTTATATATTGCACACAACAAGGAAAAAACACTAAAGTACTTCAAGTATATGTAAAAAAAAAGAAACACAACACAACAGACATAAAATAAAGCACAAAAATTAACACTGAAGAAAGAAGAGAAAAAAATTATTGCAAGCAGTATATAATGAACACTGAGTCTAATCAAGAGTTACTGAATGTCACTAAGAAATCACTGGAAACACAGAAAAAAAAAATGTCTCAACACTCGCAAATTTCTCTAT